AGTACAAATATAAGAACAATTAAGAAGAATGGAACAAAATTGAGAAGATCCAAGCACTATTGTTACATTAACTACTTTAGATGCCTAATTTTATGAAGAAACGAAGGAGACTATAAGCCAATAGTGATTTAAAATAGTGTGAGATTAAAATAACAAGTGGCAATGCAAGGATAATTGAAATCAACTTATGCAAAAATTTTTTCCTCGCGTCGGTTTATTGTGGTGTGTACACACACTCTCAAGTGCTAGTCATTTGAGTATGAAAAATGCATAAGAAAGAGTATTAAACTCAGGTGAAACAAGCTTTCATTTAAATGTCATCATAACATGATTATACATAAACTTGTAAATTGTTATTTTTAGATTTGATCAAGAGGTAGTCCAAAAGCTGGGGTGGGGGTGGGGGTGGGGTTGATGTTCATTGCATGGGAAGGATGAAGTAATGGGTATAAAATGAATTTTTTTGAGTTTAAAAAGCTTTTAAATGATTTCAATTAGAAGGCAATGCAGAAATATGGTTTTCAAGGCAAAAGAAATAAGTTTTTCTTTTGAATGAAAGGAATAGGGAAGGGGCATTTTTTCTGTGGAGAAGATTGTTGTGGTGATCAAATAGGTGATGTGAGAATTAAAATTGGGATGTGTTGGCCGGCTTTTATAGTGAAGATTAATGAGTTGTCAAAAGGGGGTCAAATTTGGTCACTCTCCTAGGCTAAGGCAAGGAAATGGCTAGGTTAGGCCCATACTCATATACATACAACTAACATATACATGACATAGCACACACATGGTCCACAAATCAAGGCCAAATATAAATAAAAAATACTAAAATACAAGAAGATTTTAAAGACTTGACAATACGAATCCATCAAAATAAAAATGCAAAAGAAAATAAATGTCACGACCTTGCTCGGAGACTCAAATTAATGAGGCGGGAACAGACGGTCGGATAGTCAACTAAATTTTCAATTACTAACTATTTACAATAATTAGAAAGAGTCACTAAAACCTCAAATTTGAACAAATTGAAATAAAATCATTTAAATACCTTTCTTCCGGTGCGCCGCCTATGATACACATTTTCACCTCTTTTGCTCATTTTAGTTAATTGAAATATACATGTAATTATTTTTCAATATGAAGAGTGAGTCATAGAGAACTCAATGAGTAATTAATGCTTCTAAATTACAGTAACTCGAGGCATTTGGAACAATATGCATTATTATTTTCCGAATATAAAATAATTTCACTTCAGGACTTTCAATAATATGCATATATCATTATTCATATCTTTAGACATCATTATTATTTTTTATAAATAATATAACCGTTATAGGAGTCACCGTCTAAAATAGTACCAATGAAGATACACCTTTTTCATTTTCTTTTTCTTTTCCTTTTTCATTAGCATACACGGTTATGTTGAGTCCACAGCCAGCACTATAAGGGGATGTGATCCATCAATCAACATGCACATGCAATCATTCTATTTTAACATATCATTTATCTTCTTCAAATAATTTCATATTGATCTATATAAATACTAAAAAAAGTTTTACCCTCTTCCCTTACACGAGACTCTCGCTTGCCCTATCCATCGAGTTCGCTTCCTTCCTTCTTTGTTTCTCTCGATCTCCCTTGCTTGTTGATCAATCTAGAACCCTAACTTGCACGCACGCATCTTCCTTCTTCCTCCCTGTTTTCTTCTCTTTCTCTCTATTTCTTCCCTTCTCCTTCCTGTTCCTCTTAACATAGTTTCCTCTCATTCAAAGCCCCTTCGGTTCAAGAGGAGGGAGTGAATCATAGTTTATTCTCCACAAGGAGTCGCTATTTTCAACTCATGTATGCATTTCTTCATTCGTTCGCGTGATCCAATTTTCTAGGCTTGGTCCCACTCACGATCGGCCCACTCGCTTCACTCGTTAGATCGTGCATGTTCGTCTCGCTTCTTTCATCTAATAAATAAAGCTAGTTCAATTGGGTCTTTGCAATCTCTCCAACTTCGTATGGGTCGTTGCATGTCCCTTCACTGGTATGAAGACAAAGCCTTTCCTTCCAAATATAGGCCTGTTGTCATCAGAGTCTCATCCTCTGTTAACCCATTGACAATGAAATATCTTTCTACTTTGTAAATCCACCCATGTGCCCTTAAAGATGGGCATCTTCAGCTTTCTCACCTTCGGGTCACCCCCGTTTCCCCTGAATTCTCTATAGCCTCCCATTCCTCGAAGAGGTGCCCCCCAATCGTCACTCTCTTCTCTTCGGCATTCATACCCAAATCCTTGCTCAAAATCCCCGCTTCTTCTTTCAAAATCAGCACCCCGGCGATCTAAATCATCCCCTCTCCTTACAAATTCAACACCCCTTCTTGCGTAGCCAATGCTCATCTCCTCCCTAGAAAGTGGTTCTAGAGGAGACATTATGTCTTCTCACTCTAGGATCTCCACTTCTGGATTTTACCTTCCCCTAAACGTGTTAGGGTTCCCATCTCTTCCATGGTAGTCGGTAGTTTCCTTTGCTTCCAATGTCGCTGGTTTGGGTTTGGCTTCAAGCAATTTTTTCAATGTCTTCCACCACGACGAACTCTCCCTCCATCCTTTCATTGACGGATGCGACCTAATTTTGAAAATCAGCAATCTTCTCCTCAAAAATTGCTTTGAGTTGCCCAAGTTCTCCCTCCAAAACTTTCACTTTCCTTCTAGCCATTGGTTCCTCTTAGATTGACGTGCTCTGATACCAATTTGATAGGAAACACTTGTAGATCTCAAATATTTCCTATTAATCTTCAAAAAACAGCATGAATTCTCCACAACAATCCACAAAAAACCACGAAACAGTAGATATTTTATATTATTTGATGAAAGGGAAACGAAAAATATCAAGATATAATTGATCTTCTATTCGAGAGGAGGATCTTTCTCTCCCAAATTGTTGACCTGCTATATCAAAAAAAAAAAAAAAAGAAAATAATCCCATACCTGCTGCAGGCGTTGCACGTCGTTCGCACGACCACGTCGTTTCTTGCATGACCTCGCGTCGTTTCATCGCACGACCTCACGTCGATAAAAGACCAAGGGAGTGAGGCCTCGGCCTCCGCTGACTGACGCTTTCGCTCTCACTCTCTCCGAAGCTCCCCTCTCACTCTCTCCCCCGACGAAGTCCTTCCTATAGGATCGGAAGTTACGACATTTTCGTCTGGAAGCTGCGACGTGAGCTTGCTAGTAAGACATGGTACGTGTCCTTTAACCGACGGTTTTGCTGTTAAATGGCACTGCAGGATAAACAGTTATGACGACCCGGGGCCCTCTGAACCGAGTGGTTTTGCCGCCAAATAGCACCACGAAATACCGGTTATGGCCAGCGCCAATACGTTCCTTATTGGCATCAAATCCTTGAGATATGAATCAATAGGATATGATCGATAGGGCACAAAGCTCTCTGCAAGCTAAGGTGGATTCAAATTTGTCCCCTT